GGGGGGGGGGGCAGCCGATGCAGGTAAGTCAGCCAGGCACCTGCAGGGGCTCCCACACCTTCCTGGGGCCCAGCTGGAAAATAAGGGCGGCCAGCAGGGAGGGGTCCCAGGTGGGATGAGCTCTGCTGAGGGGCAGGGCTGGACAGAGTGGGGTCTGTGGTGGGAAGACTGCTTTCTCCACACTCAGGATTTGGAGGGAGGGAAGCAAATGGTGTCATTTGTGGGAAGAGGCTAAGCACAGAGAGGGACTAGGTTCCCGAGTCTTCCCAGGAGGTTGAGACCTGGAGCTCCCTTGATCCTCTTGCACTGGATCAAGTGCAAGTGGTCAAAAGTCAAAGTGCAAGCGAGGAGATACCCCCAGAACTCCCCACAAGGGGAAGCAAGTTCCAGGGGCAACTCAGAGCCACCTTGGTATCCACAGGGACATGTGTCCAAAGCAAAGGCCTCAGGACACTGGAGTTTGTATCCTAGAAAGAGGACACTCGGAGCACAACTGGGAGAGGGTCTCTCAGGAAGGTGAGGGGACAGACACACCTTGCAGAAGGCAGCAGGGCAGGTGCCAGCCCCACGCTCCGGATACCACAGGATGGAGCCATTTACTGTCAGCCTCCGGGGTGCAAGAGGAGCCCGAGGCTCAGGGCCAGCGTTCAGCCCCTGTCCTTGACTCGGTGCTCTTTCTCAGATGGTTCTGGGTCCCTCCCTGCAAGCAGCCCCCACTCCCCAGCAGCAGGTGCTGGGGCTGATTGGAGCCCAGGGCCAGGCCCACCCAGCCCTGGGGCCTCAGTCTGGAACCCCTTCCCAACCCTTCCCAAGTCTCTGCCATTTCCTCCCCCAGCACCTGCCAGGTCAGAGGGCCCTGGGAGAGCCTCTCACACTCCCTCCTACCGGCCCCCCACCGCCGCCCCAGGTTGAAGGCAGAGCCACAGTGGAGGCGCAGGAACAGAACCTCTTTCAGCTGAGCTTTATGAACTTGAGTTTCATGGTGCTCAGACCCTGGCCAGGCACAGCAGCTTCACTGAGTAGGGACAGGGCCTGGCCATAGTCCGTTGGGCAGATGAGGGAGGAAGCTTCCCACCGGGACCCCAGGGGTGACCGCCCCTGAGCAGCCTCCAGTGGCCAGACCCTCTTGGGGCAGCGGGGGCCCTGAGAGGGGCAGCTCTATGTCTGAAGTCACCAGCCACCCCACCTGTGCCTTTGCACTACACAGACTCTGGGTCCAGCCCCGGATCTGACTCTGCCTCCACTTTGGGCTCCAGAGGCCCAGCCCCAGGGCTAGGCACCTCCAGGGCCTCAAGGCTGCCAGGCGGCTGGGTGGGCAGGGGCTCGAAGTCCCCTTCAGCCTCAGGGTCCTCCGTGTCGCTGGCCCCACCCTCGGTGCCTGGGCTGGGCCGGGCGTCCTGAGAGCTGCGCAGGCAACAGTGGGTGGCAACAGCCATGAAGACCCCAGCCAGGACCACCTCAGAGCCTGCCAGGTAGAAGATGATCTCATAGTTCTTCAGCGCGTCCACCAGGTAGCCTGGGGTGAGGAAACGGGGAGGTAAGGACAAGCGGGGGACCCCACCCTTCACCCCCACCCTGAATCCTCAGATAAAGGACAGTGCCCTCGATTTGGTGGGGCTCTGGGGTCCCAGTCTTTATTCCCATTTACAGATATAAGCCCCCACACAAGCTCTGCCATTTGAGACCTTAAAAATGTCCCATCACTTCCCTGGACCTCAGTTTCTGAAGTGACATGGGGCCTTCGGTGAGGGACCACTTTATAGTTCCCAAGTCGCCCCCTCCACCCTCAGGTTCAGACTTCCATGTGTCCTGTGAGATACGCAGTTGGGGATATCCAGGGTGGGCATGGGGAAGGAAGGGGCTCTGGACTCGGCCCCTCCCCTGGGGGCCTCCAACTCTTGCTCTTTCCACCTAATCTTAGGCCTGCCTCAGCTCTCCCACTGCCTCCACCTCTAGGCTCCCTCTGCCCCTCCAGGAGGCCCCGGGACCCCACACTGAGCTCGTTAGCACAGCGGGGACAAGATGTGTGGGTTGGTCACTCCTATTTCCTTCTCCGTATTTTCCAAGTTTCTATCACAGGCACACTTACCATCATTCTCAGGAAAATCTTTTAATTGCAAATACTTTCCCCTAAAGTGTGGTTCCTCCATGGGCTCCTCCCTCTCTCGGGGGCATTCTTGTGGCTGTCACACCGACTGTGACCCCTTGGTCTGCCCCCTGAGCCCCTCTGAGCAGTATTCCACCAAACTCATCTTCCTGGTCCCTGTCCCACCCATACACAGCCCATGTGCCTTCTCTGCATATTAGATCCACTCCAGGGTCACACAAGAAAAGGAAAGCTGGCTCCCCGATCCTCTGGGGTGGG